TACAATTTCTGCAACCACAGCGACAACCACAGCTATTCAGAACACCGCGACGTCAACAACTACAGCAAGTACAAAAACAACAATTTCGGAAAGTGGCAAAGCGACCCCGGCTACACAGACTGCAATCGATCGCTACATTCAAATTAAGCGCAAGATTAGCCTGCAGAGTAATCCGGCAAACAAGGACAGTACCGTGAAGAAATGAGGAAACTGCGGAGGCAACCATACGCACTCGAATTGTACAACAAAATTATAAATTAATTTATATTATGACTATGTTTCCCCTAAGAGTCAGACTACTCTCTTGTGCTTTTAATGCTTCTTCAAAGCCAAGAAATAACCGTCCACCCATTCAGTCTGACGTCGCCAAAAAAGAACTGGCAAAAATACAAAAAGAACGTGAGTGCCCACATAGAACTTGCCCTTGGAGCTTAGCATGGAATCGGACATTGACTACACTACGAGCGCCTTGAAAGAATTACTCGATGCGGCAGCTAAAATCTCTACTCCTCGAGGGAAAGACCGAAACAAATACTAAACATCTAATCATCAAATCGAACAGCTCGTGCGAGAAAAGAGGCGCACGCGTCGTGATTGGCAAAACAGCAGATCACCAGTTTCAAAACTGCTGAATCCTAAAGTATATCCCCTAGAGAATATTTTCCCAAATTTTCATAGAGATCCGAAAATTTGGGAAAATAGATAATGGTTCAATAGGAAAAAAGCGTTTTGAGGCGCGGTTCGTCACGGGTGCGGACAGCGTCAAGCAACTTTGAATGCGATTATCACAACGTCGTGTTTTTTCAAAAGTGCCTTCGCTGTGACCACGATTGCACAAAAACTATTTGATCAATCTTCTTCCATTTTTTCAGTTATTTTTCGCACAGATAAAAATTCGCAGATAAAATTTTTTTAATACAATTTTCAGAACTCAAAAAATCTACTTTTTGGAAAAATGTTTACTGTATGCAGAAAATTTTTTGATTTCGGTTGACCTGCTGGACTTCTATCGTGGTCACCGCAAGCAGCTATAAAAAAAGGGTTCCGAGAGAATTGCCATAACTTTGTAAATTGTTCATATTTTTTCAAGAACAAACGCTTGTTTTTTCGATAAAAACATGTAATATCAATAAAAAATAACTTCAGTGTCATAAAATAATTGCTACACACCTGAAATAAAAATCCAAAGTTCCCTCAATTTTTTCGCTCAAAAAGGTATATAACCCTTTAAGAAAGAAACCCGATCACTCGACCAGGCTCTTCATGAACAGAAAGCAAATGCACAGCTGAGGTACATACAGAATCTTTCACCAACAAGCACAAAGTATCCCCTTTAGAGGGTCCACCCAAATCTTGGGCCCCAATTGAATCAAGCACCCGATACGAAACTCTTCGAAGGGTAAGAGGCGAAGTGTATCTATCACCACTATCTATATAGATAGTGTATCTATCTATCTAGTCCACCACTACAATAGGGTATTCTCAGTGCAATACTACGCAGCTACTTTGGGCGAATACATCATCGAAGCTGGCGTTCCACAAGGAAGCACACTCGGCCCTTGTCTATATGTTTTGTATACTGCGGATATTCTTACGAGCGCAAAACTAACAACGTTTGCCGACCATACCGCTATCCTTAGTCGCTGTCCAACCCAAGCAACAAACCAACTTGGAAAATATCTCATATAAGTGGAAAGTGGCTGTCTGACTAGCGAATTAAAATAAACGAACAAATTCGATAGTATCCGCCAACATTTATTTTTCTCACTGACAAACTCACGCTACCATAGCATTTTAACTCAATTGAAACTGGGGCAAAAATCCTTCATCATTAAGTAAATATACTAATTCTATTTAAGAGTGTTTTGTACAGTGAGTAATGCCAAGAAAACGCAAAGGGGGTGATTTGAGCCGTAATACAAGTAGATCTCGAAACATGCGAAACAGAAGATCCGTAAGAACCGAAGTACATATCCAGCAACAAAATACTGATGTACGTATTAGAATAGCGCAAATGCATCAAGAAGAGCCAGAAGATACATGAGCTGAACGCAATGAAGTCAAAATATTAGAACAACGACAATCACGCCGTTTTACAGTCAATAGACGCAGAACAAATGACCAACATCGACAACAGGTACATCGAGAATTTATATCTAATTCATTCCTGCGTCTAGCATTCCAGTATGAGTCTGATATTGAGTATTATCGTCCGCATTTTCATGCTCTGAAATTCAAAAATGAGCCAGCTGGGATATGTTGCACGTCAGGAAAAGCGCAACTACCAGAATTTGAAACACCACCTGAACCATTGAACGGCTTACTTATCGGCACAGATCCAGATTCTAACGTGTTCCTAAAGTCTATTGGTAACAAAAACTGTGACACGAAAATTTTATATACAAGATAAGTAACTAAGTAAATTTTGTACAGAAATTTTAAAGTCAGCTGGTGGCAAAACAACGTATGCCGGGTCAGAGAGTAAATGTACAAAAATATGAATTCAAAAGGAAAAAGAACGTTATCTTCGAGCGGAGTGAAAGTTAACATAATTTAGCAGATATATGTATATGCTCATGCTTATGTGAATATCATTATAAAATAAACTTCTTTTAACAAACAAGAAAGGACGGCTTTAGTCGAGTATATTATACCCGGTACTTATTTCTTTAACCCACAATTTAACTAACCTTTAAAGTTCAACGATATGGATTCTCAGCAACAAATTTTTGTTGCATACTTTTGCGCTTGGGCAAAACCAAAACAACTACCGTATGACCTTACTACTGGTTCAGAAGGGAAGCAGACTTAAAAAAAAACACTAACGAACTGGCGCTTTCCATTTCCTTGTGGCACATTTCTGTATTGGAATGGGGAAGGGGCGTGGCCCACCTAAAATTTAGAAACAAACTTGATTTACGCGGATATCATAAAAGTTCAATTTGAAAATCTGGTAGTTCTATCTCATATAGTCTTCGAGATCCACGCGTTTAAAATTGTAGCCCGTTTATATGGGAAATTGTATTTAAATTGGTATATTTTCTATTAAAATCGGCAAATTTGATTAAATTTGTTTTTCATATATATATTAACTTTAGAAATAGTTTGACTATGTTCTATAACTAAAGAAATATAATTTTTTCTACAAACCTTCCTGTACGATTTGCATGGGTATTGTAGGAGTCTCCATGCCAAATCCTATAGCTCTATCTCGTTTAGTCTCTGAGATCCACGCGTTCATACGGACGCACAGATGGACATGGCTATATCGACTCAGCTGTTGATGCTGATCAAGAATATACATATGTACTTTAAAGAGTCGGTGATGATTCCTTCTCTATGTTACATACATTCATAGGACTACAATATGTACCCTTGTACTCTACGAGTACCGGATAAAAAAAGTTGAAAAAAATCCAGCTTCCATAAATTACAAAATTTGGATTATTTATGTTCAATCAGTTATATGGCGGCTGTAGGACTTAGTAGGCCGCTACTTATGAAATTTTGTAGATCGAATCCGTAGCTTCCGTTTCGTGCCGTTGCGACTTATACACTGTGGGCGAAGGAAAATAAGATGTGTGCAAAATATGAAGTCGAAGGCTTTCAAACTGGGAGAATAGTTTTCGTAGAAACAAACAGACAGATAGCTTATATCGACTCAGGAAGAATGAGTTGATAATTGAAAAGTTGGATGTGATGAAAACCATGGATATGATTAAATAAGTAGAAATTCTAGTGATTTCAATTTCAGGGATTAAAAACATTTTTATGTCAATTTCATGACAGCATATTGATCCAATTTAATAAAAATAAATTTGAAGTAATATTTAGTACAAACAATATTAAGTACAAATTAGGAAAGCTAACTTCGGACTGAGCCGAAGTTGGTATACCCTTTGGACGAAGATTCTGTCCAGATTCTATTTTTGTTCAGTTGATCCCATCTACCAAATTTCATAACGATTTTCCGACTATATCTTGTAGCGGCCATATACTGAACGATTGGATTTCGTATTGTAATAAACTGGTTATACTATGATATTCTCATAAGGATCGGCCAAATATATCCGACCTTTGCGATGTATATCCGGTTTTACCTGCAAGCTTATATCAACTTCGGCTCCGCCCGAAGTTAGATTTCCTTGCTTGTTTTTATACCCTTGCAGAGGGTATTATAATTTTGTCCAAAAGTGTGCAACGCAGTGAAGGAGACATCTCCGACCCTTTAAAGTATATATATTCTTGATCAGGATCACCTCCTGAGTGTATATGAGCATGTCCGTCTGTCCGTCTGTCTGTCTGTCCGTTTCTACGCGAACTAGTCTCTCAATTTTGAAGCTATCGTCTTGAAACTTTGCACACACCCTTCTTTCCTTTGCACGCAGTATATAAGTCGGAACGGCCGGGATCGGCCGACTATATCCTATAGCTGCCATATAACTGATTGATCGGAAATGGTATAACTTTGGTGTTTGTAGAGTTAGAGACTTCAAATTTGACATGAGAGCTATTTTTGGCAACAAATTACGACATGCCAAATTTTATAGGGATCGGCCGACTATATCTTATAGCTGCCATATAACTGAACGATCGGAAATGACCCAACTTTCGTGTTTTTGAAGATAGAAAGCTGGAATTTGGAACAGATTATATTTTTGGTCAGTTAATCCGACCTAGGAAATTTCATTAGGATCGGCCAACTATATCCTATAGCTGCCATATAAATGAACGATCGGAAATGGTATTTGGTAGAAATATCAACTTTCTTATTTTTGAAGATAGAAGCTTGGGACTTGTTTTAGATTTTTTATTTTAGTTAATTGGTTTTATTATGATGTGTTCATAAGGATCGGCCAACTAAATCCGATGTTTGCGATATATATCCGGTTTTAACTGCAAGGGTATATAAACTTCGGCTCCGCCCGAAGTTAGCTTTCCTTTCTTGTTCTTTACTTATATTGTATTTATTTTAATAATGGGAATATTGTTGTTTCTAGAAAAATTTGTGACCCACATCTAACTGCTTTTGAACCAGAAGCTTTGGGGAATCTTGTGGAGGGAATTGATTTTCACAAATTCTATTTCGAAAATGGTAAGTTTATACTACATATATCAAATACCACCTAAAAATATTGAGAAATATTATGCAATAAGAAAGATAAGGTATAGAAACAAAAAAAAAACTAGAACGGACGGCTGTAGTGGAGTTTCCCGACTATATTAAACCCGGTACTCATCTCTTCCACTCACAATTTAACTAACCTTTATAGATTTATCTTATGGAAAACAAATTGTTGCATACTTTTGTGCTTGGGCAAAACAAGAACAATAAACCTCAGGCCATACTACCGATTCAGTAGAGTAACCAACTAAAGAGTCTATAACTCCTCTAAATATGCTGTTTTTTGATTTTTGAGGTGTAGATTAGCCATTGGAACAGATTGGCATCAAACAATTTTCCAAAAACATTTACGAACTGGCACTAAAAATTCAAAAAGCCCGTTTGTATGGAAAATTGTATATAAATGGGTATATCTCCTTTAACAAAGAGAGGAAAGCTAACTTCGGGCGGAGCCGAAGTTGATATACCCTTGCAGTTAATACCGGATATATTTAAATAAAAATGGGATATACATAGTTGGCCAATCCAAATTATTAGAACACAAAATCTAAAAAAAAATTCTCAAGCTTCTATCTAAAAAAATAAAAAAGTTGGTATTTTTACCAATAAGTCGTATTACTTTTCCCAAAAAAGCATTCATAAAAAATTAATTGACTCTAAAAACACCAAAGTTATAGCAGTTCCAATCAATCAAACTTATATACTGCGTGCAAAGGAAAGAAGGGTGTGTGCAACGTTTCATAGCTCTAAAGTCGATAGCTTTAAAACTGAGAGACTAGTTCGCGTAGAAACAGACAGACAGACGGACAGACGGACATGCTCATATCAACTCAGGAGGTGTTCCAGATCATGAATATATAGACTTTATAAGGTCGGAGATGTCTCCTTCACTGCGTTGCACACTTTTGGACAAAATTATAATACAGAGGGCAGAGGGCCAGGGTATAAAAATTTGTTGCTGATATTTCATACCTATAAAGGTTAAAGTAACTATAAAGGTTAGTTAAAGTGTGAGTGGAAGAGATGAGTACCGGGTATAATATAGTCGGGAAACTCGACTATAGCCGTCCTTTCGTGTTTTTTTTTTGTTCTTGGTAGGAATCGGAACGAAATTTATACATATAAACATTTTGACTTATGAAATTAAATTATTCTAAAATTTTTGGGTGCAAAAAAAATTTAAACTTATTTTTGTATTTTTTCAGTTCTTGGTAAGAATTGCAAGGCAATTAATACAACTATATTAAATCCTCATGTGCACTTATTGGGCGAAGAAGCTGCTTGCATTGCATATGTAAGACTCACGCAATATATTGACAAGTAAGCATCAACAAGGCGGAGCTAAAAATAGTTAAAATTTGAATTCCTTGATCCACTTAAAAAATAAATAATTCACACAAATAACACAGTGCTACCAAAAAACAAAGTTGAATGAAATTTTAAAGTGACATAGTAGGAATTGCTTATCTGATCGAATGTAACACAAAACCGTGTTTGAAATTTTTGTAACACCCTAAAAATCATGATTTATTGTAAAAACCCGTTCTTCTGAACTTATTTGCGCTTAAAAATTCCTAAACCCGTTTTTTGAAACCGATTTCTGGCGTTTTTATTATTATTTTGGGTAAAAATAAATAGATCTTTAATTTTTTTAAACAAAGAGGACAACAATTTTTACACAAGAAACTGAAATTTTCACCTTTTATTTGTGTTTTTCATTGATGACACACAAAACTTCTGTCATTTATGACACATATCAATATTGTCTTTTTAATAATGAATAAAACGAGTCAAATTTCATAAAAAAAAATTATAAAAATCTTGGTAACGTTCTAATGCTATTCCCGAAAAAAGTCAATTCGATCTTGCTAGCGCTCCGGAGTAACAGTGTGTAAAAGAAAGGAATAAGCTCAATGGAAGGGTGCAGTGTTTAAAAGTTTTAGAGGGCCTTAAAAGTTTATAATCATTTTTGCACTGTGTTATTTTGCACTTTTTTTATTAAAAAATTGTATTTCCGTCACCATTCTTAATTCTAAACAAACCACCTAACCTGTATAAACAATCTGATTTTAATGTTTTTAAACTTTTCTTCAGACAAGGACATGCACATACTCATCAATCGGAGGAAACACGTGTCTGGCACAAACGAGATAATAAGTGGCAGAACGTTCATTTTCATCGAAGCGCATCGGCGAAAATAAGTGGTGCTACTACATTCGATTTTATTCCCCAAAAATAGGTGTTATTCTCCATCGTTGAGAAAATAAATTTTTAAGTCAAAATATATTATTCTAATAATCTGATTCCTTTTTTTTATATTTTAAATTCACATTTATAATCTGTTACACGCCCTAAAATAAAATTTAAAGCATATATCGAATTACTGAAATACCAAAGATTGTGACTACTTTTCTTTTTGCACACATAACTACATATATAAACATACACGAACATATGCATAAATATATGTATGCATCTTTTTTAAAGTATTTGATGAAAATAATAATGAAATATCTGTTTATTTTCTTAATAGCTTAACAGAAATCACAAAGCCATATTAAATACTCTGAAAACTTTTGTTTTGGTAAAATTTCTCATATTGACTTTCACTTCGAAAACTTTTATTTTTGGTGAAATTAGTTATGCTATGAAAAAATGAATGATACATTATGTGAAACGAAAAATGTCTTAAAAGGAAAAAAAACTTTATCAGGCAGGCTTTGGGATTCACTATTATAATTGGAATATTTTTTTCTAACAAAACGTAAAAGCAACGATCTAAATTGCATATTTTCTTTTCATTTTGAAACGACAGCTCTTATTTAATTTATATAAATAGTAAACGGCTTTTTCATCCCAAAATCGACTTTAAACCGAAAAAAAGATTACGAATTATGGTATTAACATTTAAAGTGTTTCCTTAGTTTGCCCAAATAGGCTTATGGTTATTTTCAAAAAAATTATTTTAGGAGTAAACCTTAGTTTTAAATCTTCTTTAAAATCTTGAAAAAATAGCCTGGCAATTCACATTCTGTTTTGAGGGTGTGTGTATTAGATTTAATTTATGGTTACTTTAATGGCAAAGTTATTGGTGTAACAAAAAAACCTTTGGGATGATAGGGTTGGATATAAAATACTTTATTTTGTATGAAAGGTAAAATTAGTAAGATGAGAACGAAATTGGAAGGGATTGAAAGGAGGGAAATCGAAGGGGTGTGTGTTTTTTCCACTGTTTCGGCGGGAAAAAAAGCGAAACTCCGTTGAGTTCCCACTGTATTTGTGCTATCAAAAGTCACATAGTGAAAATAAAAACACGACCCGTAAAAACACGATATCCGTAAAAATTGTAACTTTAAGCCTAGTACTCTGACGACGAAAATCCGCTGCGCGTGCTAGCGAAATCGCTCTTTATTTGGCTACCGAGATAGTGTGACCAAAAAAATTAAGGAAAAGGATAATACTGAACAGCTGTTGCTTGTAAACAAAAAACAAATAAGCAAAAATGAATTCAAACCGATTGGTTTTTTCTTCTTCTTCCTTTTTTCACACCGTTTTTTTTATATGGAGTTCGGCGGCTGTCATACGTGTGACAGCGGATTTTCGTCTTTAAGGCTTTAAGTCATAATATGTTCCAAATGTATGTATTATGACATATTTACACTTATAAATTTATTAAATTCTATTAATCAAATTTCATGAGAGTCAAAACCGCTGCTCTGGCTAATAACCGATTTATATTTATAGATGGGGCATTTTAGATCAAACAAGTTAATTTTTTGGTGGAGCTTATAGAAGAGGAAGAGCATAAGACTACTGTTTTTTTTTTATTTCGGATGTCTTGGACTTTTTCGTACTTTACGCTTTTCAGAATTGCAGAAATATAAGTAGACAGAAGTATTTAGTTATCAGAGGTGTCACAGTCGAAACACGCAGACGGATTTTCGGAATTTTCCGCTCGACAATTTCCAAATTTCTTTGAAAGCCCTATCCGTCTTTCAAAATGTTCAGCAGAATAATTCCGTTGGGATTAAGTTGTCATTCCGCTGACGTAAGTGTCACTTATTTCCTTTAAATTTTCAAAGACTGGGAGCGTTGCCCAATGATCTAGCACAGGGTGGGTGCCCATTCCCATTGCTCTCGTTGCACCTTTGTTGTTGTAAATCCTTTTTCATATGCGAAATGCAAGTCATATACGTGTGTGACTCCCAGCATAGGCAAAGAGCAACTACAATAACAAATTTTCTTATTTTTGATATCCTTCTCAATCGCGCTAATCAGAATTAATTTTGTTTTTGGATTGCCAAAAACTTTTCACTGCAAGAAATTCATTCTTTTTTTTGTTTCTGCCTAAATGGTCTACCTGAAGGGATGAATTTCTTCTTCGTATAACATTTTTTAAATAAGAAGCTCTGCACCTTTTGTCATTGTACAACAATGGCTTGTAAAAAATTGCCATATTGAAATTTGTTTTTTTTATTTTAATGATATTTATTTAAAATAATGAGGAGTTTACCCTTGTAAATGTTACTATAATTTTATTTTTCAGTGCACCGACATGAAATTCAAAAAAAATTAAAAGAACATTTTAAAGACTTCTTCAAAACACTTTATGAATACTTCCGCCTTGCTCTAAAACATTACTGGCTTTCGGCATAATCTCAGTAAGGTCTTGGCAAAAAAATCGAATCCCAGGTTTACATATTTGTTAAAGTGTTAAAGCTCGTTTTTTAAGTTATCAGTGAAAAAATTAAGGAATCAAAAATGGTAAAAAGTTAAAACATTTAAAATACACCAACCAAATCAAAAAAATTATTAGTGTTATTTCGAGTTAGCTAATAAATTATTTTTTTTTTTTTGTTATTTCACGCTTACCGCAATCTACTTTATTTAAGCCCCGATGCACTAAGCACTAGTTTAGTGTTTTTGTGGAGGTTGATTTCAATTAGTGTGATAGTTCCGGCCAGAGCTCATCTCAAAACCAACCATAGACACCATCGTTTGGATGAGATGTCACATCTACATATGAAAAACATAATTTGTATGTAACAGACGTTTAATTGAATACTTCCAATTTTTTTTTTTTGTATTATTATATTTTTTTTTTATACCCTTGCAGAGGGTATTATAATGTTGTCCAAAAGTGTGCAACGCAGTGAAGGAGACATCTCCGACCCTATAAAGTATATATATTCTTGATCAGGATCACCTCCTGAGTTGATATGAGCATGTCCGTCTGTCCGTCTGTCCGTCTGTCTGTTTCTGCGCAAACTAGTCTCTCAGTTTTAAAGCTATCGTCTTAAAACTTTGCACACACCCTTCTTTCCTTTGCACGCAGTATATAAGTCGGAACGGCCCGGATCGGCCGACTATATCCTATAGCTGCCATATAACTGATTGATCGGAAATGGTATAACTTTGACGTTTTTAAAGTTACAGAGTTCAAATTTGACATGAGAGCATTTTTTGGCAAAATATTACGACATGCCAAATTTCATTAGGATCGGCCGACTATATCCTATAGCTGCCATATAACTGAACGATCGGAAATGACCCAACTTTTGTGTTTTTGAAGATAGAAGTTTGGGACATTTTTAGGTTTGGTTTTTGTATTATAATAAATTGGGTTATATTATCATATTCTCATAAGGATCGGCCAACTATATCCGATGTTTGCGATATATATCCGGTTTTAACTGCAAGGGTATATAAACTTCGGCTCCGCCCGAAGTTAGCTTTCATTTCTTGTTTGAAGCTATGATACTTTATGTTGTACTTCTGTCAATTAATTTGGAAAAATATTGGTGATTTACTTTTAATGAGTCTTAACGTACCGAGCTGCATTAATATTTCATTGAGTCACTGTTTTTGTTAACTAGATTATTAAATATTACGGCAAAACTTTACAAAACTTAAAAACATGAATTTGCCGTCAATGAAAAATCAATATCTATACACTTTTAAAATATCATTTTATGATTTTCAGCTTAATGTTGTCTTTAAATACTTACCTAGTCACTTAAATTAATATATTAAAATTGATAACTTTAAATGAAACGGAATATGTATGAGTGTTAGGTATCAAAGAGTTACGAAGCTGTAAAAATATAGATATAACGCATTCAAATTTTGGAAACTAACTCAAAAAAATTAGCTAATTGTTAAATTAAAAAAAGTACTGGACAAGTTGTTTCTAGGAAAATTTTTTTAAAAAATTGCAATTGTATCTTTTATTGCCCTATTGTCGCCACTTACTTCGAATATATTAACTTCTTAAATGGTAGTGACATGTTACGGAATGTCGCAAATTCTCTGTCAGTTGAAAAAAAAATTTTTATTATAATAATATAATATAATCAAAAATAATTTTGATTGAAAATGTAATATGTAAGGCAACAACAAAATGTAGTATTAATCCTATAATGATGAGCAGGCATATATATAAAACTATAGGCAATCATCAAACAAGTCCTATTTTACAATATAAATGAAATAAATTGTTCTAAATTAATAAATTCACTCAAATATCTATTTTTTGTGTGGATGACTATGGGTTTAAGTTTGAAGCTTAAATATTATTAATGTATGAGTGTAATAATATTCCTTCATATGATTACAAAATTATTGTTTTTAAAAATTTAATTATACATATAATTATATGATTAGTATACATAATGCGGAGCTAAAAAAATCATTTAAGAACTTAATGATACAGGAAACACTGCTATACCTTTAAAAATATATATTTATTTTTATCACATATGTATATTTTTTAAATATTACCAAGTTAAAGTAAATATAATTTAAAGCCTTGACATGCCGTGGAAAAAATCAAATTTTTTTAATCAACTATTGTTATTGTTTTGATAGAATGAAAAAGTAATTATGTTTTTGGAACCCTCAAATGTCTTCTTAAACCATATTTACATTGGGCCTAACAGTTTCAATATTATTGATTCAGAAACTTTTGCTCAAAAGTAGCAAAAATTAAGGATAAAAAAAACGAAAAATTAAAATTATTTTTCTGGTAACTAAAATAAAATAAAAAAATTTATTAAAAATTGTCTATTAAAATTATTTAGTAGCGTATATCCCTAATAATCGCATATTGCTAACCCCATCAAAACCCTTAATAAATAAAAAAATTAAACAAAATATTCCATGTATATGATTTATGATGCAAATATATACTTAATAAAAAATTAATAATTTATTTTTATTTAAATTTTGGAAATTTTTGTTCTGTATATAAATATTGGGTAATGTAGTTTTTATTTAGTTCTCATCGTTTGTGGGGGTTAAAGGATAAGGATATCTCCATCCCAATAAAGTATACATTGTATATTGTATATAGTTGTAAGTATATGAAGTAATATACCATATATTCTTGATTAGCATC